AGCTAACCCCCTCTGGCTTCAAACAGAGTCCAACTTCTGGTGCATCTAGTCCAATTTCACAAATAGCAGGTGCCTTGTTTCCTTCAGATTTGTTGAACCAACTTCCATCAGCCTTAGCCAACAGAGTCACTGACAGGAAATTGTGGTAGTCCAAAAGATCAGGAGGGTATTTGATTGCCAACTCCTGGTCAACACTCTCCAGTTGCTCTCCAGATTTTTGGGCTGACGTTTCTTCAGCCATCAGTGAGAGAACTTGGACCTTCTATAAACAAAATGTATGCCTGCTTACTGAACTATACTCTCTCCCAGTGATCTAGGAATTATAAATTAGGCCAGTATCACATTAATGGTTCACATGTTTATAAGCATCACTGGATGGTTGCAGTATTAATATTTGTCTTGCTCTTGTCAATAGAGTGCTTTAGTTGTAACACAGAAAGGAGTATTATATCTTTTCAAAACACCTATTGAGTACTATCTGTTCATATATTCAGTGACCAATCACTGGGGGCATATTTATTAACTTTTTACAATTACAGACCAAGCCACTGGCTTGCAGTATAATTTTAGCCCTTCATGTTGCAGTCTTATAGGACAATCTTTAAAAAAAAAAACTGAATTCTGGAATCTACCACAAAGGACTACTTGATTGTCCTATCATCCACTGAGAATGAATGTTTAAAAATAAAGAAAAATATATTATCTGCTGGGTCCTAGCTTTGAGAGACCTTTCCCTTAGGTTTCATCAAGGTTTTGGCCTGAGTATCTTCCAAAAACAATGGAAAACTTTCTAAACCATCATTTGGTGATACAGTTGAATTTGGGGTTGATTTTGATGCAGTGAGAGTGGGGATATAGCGAACATCTATTTTTTTTATATATCTTATTCTATTTTTTATTCTCCAAAGCTCAGGATTTAAGGTATAGGAGGACAGATATTAATTGCTCATGAGGAGAATTTCTTACTTGTAAGACACTGGAACCAATTAATAATAGCAGTGGAAGGTTGTTCTCGTTGAACATCTACAGTGGACATCTACTACATGGACTCTTTTCTATGTCAACAAGATTTGTCTGGCCATACTACATGAAATCTCTCTCAACAAACAACATTCCTTAGCATTAAAACTACTGTAAACCGAAAACAATGAGGAAGTAGCTTTTAACAGTTCTGAACTTTACCTGCTTAGCTTTGTGAAAAAGACAACAGTAATTATGGTTCATACAGGATTTTGAGAGGTCATGATTCATTTATAGAGCAGTAACATGGAGGGGTAGCCAGCATATAGAAAAATATAAAGCATTTCCATAGCTTCTCTTGCCACATCTATTAAAGAATCTTGCAGAGGTTAGGCTTAAACACACATCTTGGTATGTTCCATATCACCACCTCCCTTCACTGACAAACATGCACACCCACAAAGTAGTATTTATCTTGAGAGGAGTTCAATTCCAAATGACTACATGGATATATCCATGTAGGGGTTTTTGGCAACAATAGAGAAACAGTTTGCCATTATTCTCTTTCACAATGACTTTTTAATTTCCCAATCTACACTACCTTGGAATTTTATGGTGGCCTCCAATCTAGTACTAGCCAGGTCCAATTCTGCTTAACTTTTTCAAGTTGCCACCCACTGGGACACATACTCATATTCTTTTCAAAATGTACTTAGGAATCAGTAATTTAGACAAGATCATGAAGGACAAGGCCATTTCAATGACAACAAATATCAGAATTGTAAAAGCAATTATCTTTCCAGTGTCCTTTTGGGAAAGTTGGTCACTAAGAAAGAGAGAAAATAGATGTCTTTAACTTAGGGATTTGGAGGAGCGTACCCTAGGCTGCAAGAAGAATCAATTAATTTGTGACCGAATAAAGGCTGACTGCTCCCTTGAGGCAGGGATCAGCAAGCAGAAACTCATATACTTTGAATATGTGATACAAGTAGAAGATGAATTAGAAAAAGTGATTATGCTTGAGGGAAGTAAAAGAAGGATAAGGCAGCAGATAAGATAGATGAATGGGATCAAAAAGATTACTGAAATGTCCTTGAAATAGCTACAAGCTATTACCGAAGATTGGTGAAGAAGGTGGGAGTGTTTGTCCATGCAGCCGTCAGGAGGTGAATCTGACTCAGTGGCACCTCAGTAATTAACTGGTTATCAGTACAAAGTCTTTTGGCTTCCTAAATGATTCTCTTTAGTATTCCTACTTTTGGCAGCTGCCAGCAAGATGGAAACAACTGCTTTCAAAGCCGACCCCCTTGCTACCGCTGCTGGCCATATAGAATAGGTTGTAAAATGTTAGATAGTTAAGATAAATGTTGTAAAATGTTAAGTTGTAAAATGTTAGAATGTTGTACTACGTGAGCCACCCAGAGTCCCCCATTAGGGGAGGTGGGTAGAGATAAATCTAATAAAATAATAATAATAATAATAATAATGATGATGATGATGATGATGATGATGCACCCAAGAAGAAAAGGAAAAGAGGCAAGCAGCCAGCCACGCAAACCTACACTGCCAGTCAGCCAGGTCACTACAACCCGTGACATTGCTTGCACTTTTCGCTAACAAATTACAACTGAATCATGAACTATATTGATTATTTATTTTACGTGTGGCTGTGTTCCTGGACATGCTTCATTACTAACTTCTTCAAAATCAGAGGAAGAGGGTTGGAGAAAGTATGTTTGGGGGTACAAGCATGAACATAAACTCAATCATAATTCCATGGGCCAAAACTCCCCACTTCTGGAGAAATGGACTTAGCTTTTCTGCCTGTCCTCACCTCCCACAGATCCTCTCCCAGTCTACCACTGGAAACTAGAATCCTTCCAACTCCACAGCTCCATTTGTAGTTCTCACTTCAGCTGGAGCCACAACCGATGTCCAGATAAATAAATCCCCATCCCCCAAATGAGACAAATCATGACATCCTAGAAACTTAGGTATAACAGGTAATGGGCCCCAACTGGTCTCTTTTCTGAATCTCCCCTCCTAATTTCTGCAGTCCTCTGCCATTAAAAAAAAAAAAAAATCAAGTACCATGTTGTTGCAAATAATAGTATGGAAGATTCCTCACTTCCTTGCCAAAAGGGGAATCGGAGGAATTCAGTTCAGAAGCAGGAGGGAGCATCCCCGTCTTGTCCCTCCTCCCACCACGGTTCTGCCAAGTGCAATAACAATGCAGTCATCATCAGGAGAAAGAGATGGGGGCGGCGGGGGGGTGGGGGAGAT